TTAGATCTTATACATATTTTATCAGGTTTATACTTCATTATTTCATTTATTTTAGTGCTACTATGAATAGTATTGTGTTAATTTCAGGTCACATTTGCACATTGCTGGTATTTAGGAAGCCACTGGACTTGCGCATCCTAACCCTGTATCCTGCAGCCTTTAACCACTGACAAGTTTAGGAGTTTTTTTGTTGATTGTTTGATTTCTTCCTCATAGGTAATTGTCCTCTGTGAACAAAGACTGTTTTATTTCTTCCTTCTCAATCTGTGTGCTTTTGTTTTCCTTTTCTTGTGTTACTGCAGTAGCTAGGACTGTCAGGATGATGTTTAATACCAGTGGTGAGAAGGAACTTTCCTGCTTATTAATGCTCTTCAGGGGAAAGGCCTGTCATTTCTCACCATTAATTACGTTGTTAGCTGTAGCTTTTTTGTAGGTGTTATGTCACGACCCGTCGGGCCCCTATGGCCCTGGTCTCGGTTACTGCAGGAAGGAACCAGGAGAAAGGCAGATTAGAAGTACAAGCTTGTGGGAGGCGGGCTAGCCCTTGCTTACAGGGTAGCCCGGCGTAACCCCCGCACCTGAGATGGAATAACACAGGTGAGGGGAGTGATTAACAATGACTACCTGCTGAAGGCTCGGGCTCTTCTACAAGGAGCACCTGTGGACAGATGGCCCGAGGTCCACCCCTCAGCTGCAGATCATCTTGCTCAGATGTCGTCTGGCTCTTGACGTCCCTACAGTGTTATTTATCAAGTAAGGAAGTTTCCCTCTTTGCCTAGTTTGCTGATAGTTTTTATGGATGGGTGTTGGATTTGCCAAATGCTTTTTTAATATCTATCAATATGATTTTTTGTTCTTTAGCCTATTTACAATGATTGTGTTAATTGACTTTTGAGTGTTGGACCAACCCTGCATACTGGAATAAATGCCACTCGGATGGTATATAATTTCTTTTTTCGGTTTTTGTTTTGTTTTGTTTTGTTGTTTGAGACACTGTCTCTCTCTGTTGTCTAGACTACAGTGCAGTGGCATCATCAGAGCTCACTTCAACCTCAAACTTCCAGGCTCAAGTGATCCTCCTACCTCAGCCTCCCAAGTAGCTGGGACTACAAGCACCCACTACCATGCCCAGCTTTTTTTTTTTTTAACTTTTTGTAGACATGGGATCTCACTGTGTTGCCCAGGCTGGTCTCAAACTCCTGGCCTCAAGTGATCCTCCCACTTCAGTCTCCCAAAGTGCTAGAATTATAGGCATGCGCTACCTTACCTGGCCTCTTTTTATGTATTGTTGGATTTGGTTGCTAATCTTTTGTTGAATTCAGTTTTATTATACGCTGTATTTGATTTGCTACTTTTGCTGAGGATTTTTACGTTAATGTTGATAAGACGTATTGTTCTATGGTTTTCTTTTCTTGTAACGTCTTTGGTTTTGCCATTAGAGTCATGCTGGCCACACAGAGTGACTCAGGATGTGCCCATCTGCCTCTGTTTTCTGGAGGAGACTGTAGAGAATCACGTCTTCTGTTGATGTTTGGTGGAAAACACTACTAAACCCCTCGGGAGTCCGGGGCTGGTGCCTTTTGGGGGAAAGCTTTTCTTTTCATCTGGTGACCAAGTTTGTGGACATGCAGCTGTTGGTGATGGTTCTTTATAATCCCTTTCGAGTCCGTAGGATCAGAAGTAATGGCCTGGCTTTGATTTCTAGTATTAGTGGTAGATCTCGTCTCTTCTCTTTGCTAGCCTGGAGAGGGTTTTATCAATTTTATTAATCTTGTTGAGGAATAAGCTTTTGATTTTGTTGCTTTTATCTATTAATTTTCTGTTTTCAATTTATTGATTTCTGCTCTAGTTTTTATTATTTCTTTCCTTCTCTTTACTTTAGGCTAATATTGCTCATCTTTCTCTAGTTTCCCGAGGTGGAGACTTAGGTCATTGATTTTAGATTTTTTTTTTTCTAATGTGTGTATTTAATGCTAAAAAAAATCTCCTCTGGGCACTGCTCTTGCTGCATCCCATGAAGTTCGATAAGTTGTATTTTTATTTTCATTTAGTATAAAATATTTTAACATGCACTTTTATGAATTCTTTATTAAATCATGACTGTGTACATTGATGCTTTTATGGGGTACAATGTGGTGATTTGATATACAATGTGGAATGCTTACATCTAACTGATTAACATAACCATCTCCTCACTTACTTGTTGTGGTAAAACATTCATACTCTATTCTTAATAGCTTAGAAATGTATCGTTGTGTTATGCACATTAGGTTGGATCTCCCCAAATGCCCCTTCCACTCCCCTCTCCTTCCTCGTTCCTCCTTCTTTCTGGACTATAATTATGTTTTACCATTCCTCTTGTCGTAATCCCGGCAGCTGAGAGGAGGATGGACCCCACTTCAAATGTAATTAATCAATAGAAATTTATTGATAATTTGATACACCTACAGGTGCACCTGTAGGGGGCTCTTGTGGTGGGCCAATAAGAAGCCTCAAATAGCCGGGGAGAAGCCTTTTTATTCCATTATTCTGCATAGTCATGGTGACTTGCAGGCTAGCACAATACAGAAGCCAATCATAGCGGTTAGCACAGCTCAATATAGCTCAGGGGGCACAAGGTAAGGGTACATATTGATTCAGACATCACAAGATATATCACAAGTACATTACTTCATGATCATAAGATGGTGTATGTCATAGGGGTTTACACAATTCAGGGTGGAGGTACATGTTTACTTAGGGTACATTAGCTCATAATTCAGGGGTACAAAACAAGTGTTGGGTACATTTCCGAGAACAACTCAGGACCTTTTTATCCGGGGCTTTATTTGGAATCTACCCCTCCCTTCCTCAACCCCTCTCTGCATACTTCCTTAATTTCAGGCTGTTTCTCTACCCTTGAGAGGGCAGGAACTAAAGGCTTAGGAGAGGTGTCTTTTTCTAGGGTAGGGGGCTTGTTCTCCACTGGTCTTAGGGAGGGGGGTCAAGGGCTGGGGGCTTGGTTATTACACTATGAATGTGTAGGTGGTTATATACCAATCTCATAGTCATATTGAATACACTGAATTTGCACCAGAGTGTTTATTGCAGCACATGTACTTTTAAATACAGAAACTTCCCCGGGCCAGTGGGCAGCTGTCGGGGTAAAGTGCAGAGAACTGCAGCCTTTTCATTTATATGGCTGGTTTATAAATGGGGTTGGGAACTGCAGTAGAGCTCCGTTCTATGCTTAGCTTGTAGAGTGGAGGGTTCCTGAGGTCTTGGCTCCCTAGAGGTCAGTTCCACACCATGCGGGAACAGCGGCTGGGTGGCGCGTTCTCCACTTGAAGCAGAGGGAAGGAACAGCAGCTCTCACATGCCCCACTGTGTCAGCCCAGGCCCTCGTTGAGTCATGCCGATGGTCAGGAACTAGTTCTAGGGAACTGAAATGACTCATAGTGTAAATTAAAGTCAGTTATTCATCCTCTTCAGACATGGAAAATAATTTAATGTCATCAGTAAAAGTAAACTTAAACATCTTGAGTTCGATAGTTATCTTTCTTTCTCCAGACTGGTATCTGCAGGTGAACTGCTTCCATCGTGTTCCTTAGTTTTGACTCTTCCTTTTTGGACCTTTCTTATGGAAGACCCTGCCGTAAAGCTCTTCTTGGGGTGGCCCCTCGTACACCCACAGAAGTGGTGAGTAGGTGAGAGGTGTTTTGAGGCTCAGCGGTTTCATCGCTGTTCAGTGTCACTCAGCTTGTTTCCTCCACATCTTCCAAGCCGTATTCCGGATCTGAATATTAACAGTGTGGGCCTGTTCTGCAGGGTCCTTCCTGAATCTGTGTCGTTGCCATCTGCTGGCATTTCCATAGTGAGCTCAACAGGCTGCACAATGGTATGTGTGCCACGGGCCAGACTCTCACCTGGGAGGGGCAGCCACACTGGACCCTGTCGTGCTTTCTCCTCCCTCTGCCCCACACATCACAGAGCCAGGCAGCCCTGGAGGGGGACTTCGCACTCCCGGACGCCTTGGGACAGTTCAGAGGCAGAACTTAGGCCCCAGCAGCTGCAGTCAGTACAGGGGCCCCATCCACTGGATAGCCCTGGCCCTGCTTCCCACTGCCCACTCACCCAAGAAGCACTTCTATAATCAGTCACCTGCTCACACGTTCTCCCCTCAGGGTCTCCTGGGGAACACACCTAAGCCACTTTCTACTGAGCTTGCCATGAGGAAGAAATATTAAAGAATAGCTGAGTGTTCCCCATTTTTTTTTGGAAGAGGCTGGTCTCTACTGCCTTACTCGTTTTGTGATAGTTTCCACATGATGGTGGACTGCTATGGAGGTGGTAGTCATTTCCATCTATCTCTCTGGATAAACTTATAGACATACGCAGAACTTTATAGAGAAATGTAGCATTTATCTTATGGCTGTTACCACGGGACGTCTCACCAAGAAATAAAGGGATCCTGTCATCACTTCTGTGGGACCTCTGCAGATCCTCCTTAGAGAATGCCAGGTGTGAACATGTGTGGTTACTGCAGACAGGGGGCCTCAGCACACGTGTGGTTACTGCAGACGGGGCCTCAGCACACACGTGGTTACTACAGACAGGGGGCCTCAGCACACGTGTGGTCACTGCAGACAGGGGGCCTCAGCACACGTGTGGTCACTGCAGACAGGGGGCCTCAGCACACACATGGTTACTGCAGACAGGGGTCCTCAGCACACGCATGGTTACTGCAGACAGGGGTCCTCAGCACATGCGTGGTCACTGCAGACGGGGGGCCTCAGCACACACATGTGGTTATTGCAGACAGGCTGCCTCAGCACACGCGTGGTTACTGCAGACAGGGGGCCTCAGCACACACATGTGGTTATTGCAGACAGGCCACCTCAGCACACACGTGGTTACTGCAGACAGGGGTCCTCAGCACACACGTGGTTACTGCACACAGGCGGCCTCAGCACACGCGTGGTTACTGCACACAGCCGGCCTCAGCTCTGGTTTCATCCTAGGCTCCATGGTCCCCTTCTCGATGCGCATCTTACACGCAGAGCTGCAGCAGTACCTGGGGAACCCACAAGAGTCGTTGGACCGGCTGCACAGGGTGAAGACCGTCTGCAGCAAGGTAAGTGTCCTGCCGTCGTTCCCCCACCCCCCGCCCCGTCCCAGGGCTCCGGGTGCTGGTATCAGTGCTGCCAGAAGGGAAGTGAGCTGGTCCTTGCCTGTGCAGAGGGATCCTTCCCACAACTGGACGGCCTCTCGCAGGCGCTTTGGGCTGGCATCTGCTTCCATTTTTTTACACCATAACTTAAAAGATAAAAAGAAAAACTGTGTTTCTTGCTTATACTTTGACCAGTTGATGGGAAATTGTGTTGCCAACTTCTTTTTATATGGCAACACTTTTCTTGAATCTTAAAATGGAGGTAAATTATTTATTTTCAAAAATATGAAGCACATACATTGATATTGAGAAATTCTAGATCAATGACTTACTAACCTGCATATGACATTTTAGGAAATGTCTATGGTATTTGAGAGAAAACTGTCTGTCGTAGGGTGATTTGAAGTTGGAAAAGTCAAGTCAGGTGAAGTGGTTGTGAGAGTCAGTTTTCCTGGTCCTAAGGTATTTCTTGTTTACACTATCAAACTTGTAAAAGCATAATACTGTGTAACCATCAGAAGATCCACTTAGCACCTGCTATGGAGCAGGCTGTGGGGGCAGGGGGAGAGAATGGGGGGGTGCAGTGGAGAGTGGGGGATGAGGCAGACAGTGGGCCTGTCCAGGCTACCGCTGTGCTTCTTGGACACTTAGCGTGTACTCATGAGTCAGCCACTGTTGCTAAGCAGTTTTCAGACCTTAGCTCACTGAATCCTTATACATCCCTAGGAAGGAGGTGGGGGAGTCTTCCCAGTTTACATCTGGGGAAACTGAGGCATGAGAGGGCAGGTGAAGCCCACCTTAGGCTGAGCCACTGGGCTCCAGAAGCCTCTTCCTTGAGCACCACTCCGCAGTGCTCTGTGAAGCTGGGCCACCAAAGTACTACATTTCTTCTCTCCCAGTGCACTTCCTTCCCTGATGCCTTATAAAGCAGCAGTTACTAAGTTTAGTTCTATCTACCAATTTGATGGTGCCAGAAATTTTAGCAGCTCCCTACTGCATTTGTTCTTGCCAACAATTGGGTTCAGCAGGTGCAGGGATCTGTGGACTCTAAGTGGATGCGGAGAGTCTGGCCAAGAGAAGTTAGTGGCCCTGCCTCCTGCCTCAGCCCAGCGACGGTAGTGTCAGATGCACGCTCTGGGCACACTCGGGCAGCTCAGCACCGTGCAGGTCTGCCTGGCTGCTACAGCTGTGGTTGCTGAGCTGCAGGGGACACGCCTCTCACGCCTTGGCGGGGGGGGGGATTGGAACAGGCCATTGGCTGTCCAGGAGCCTTGGTGTTGATCTCGTGTGCTTACCTCAAGGTCAGTGTACAAAACGGGGATTGTCGTTTCCAGAAGGAAACGAGTGGCTTCTGTTCCTGAGAACTCTCTGTCCACTCGTCTTCACTGCTCGTGTGGCCTCTGTTCTTCAAGGCAAACTGCAGGCTGGAGGTCAGAAAGGGCTGTGGGATAAATGCTAGGAAGTGGGTAAATAACAGAGCAGGAACAGAAGAAGGGCAGTGGAGCTTTAACCCTGTGTGAGCAAGTCCGCTCAGACGGCTCAGGTCACTTAGAAGATGGACGGGCAGCCCTCTGTGCAGGTATATTGAGAGCCCCCCTGTCTGATAACTGCCACTCCAGCGGAAGTCAGGTCTACTCAGGTACAGTGCCCAGCAGGGATTTCTCATATGACAAGGAAGAACCGTAGATGATTGCAGAGCGAGGTGCAGAGAGGCCCAGGAGAGCAGACCAGCCTGAGCCCTGCTACACAGGCCTGCTACACCTCCAGACCAGCAGACCAGCCTGAGCCCTGCTACACAGGCCTGCTACACCTCCAGACCAGCAGACCAGCCTATAGCCCTGCTACACCTCCTTGGGGCTGTGCTGAGCTTGGCGGTCAGCTCTTGGGGAGAGGCCAGTGGGACTGTCCCCTGTTGCTTCCACTATGAGCCACAGAGTGTTGCGGCATGAGATGCTATAGTGGTGTGCTGTGCTGGCCGTTCCATGTTTTCCACATGGTCACCCCAGTGCCACAGCCTTCACACAAGGGAATGTCCACAACACACTGATTTTCAGAGCCAATCTTCAGAATTACAATTACAGCATGACCCTGACAAAATAAATATATGGGTTGGAAGGTAGAGGATGCCATCCTTTTAATTCCTTTTTATCATCCAGGTCTTACACAACACATGTATTAATTCTATAATTAGACTTTTTTCTATTGAAAAAAATTAAATAAGGGGCAGCGCCTGTGGCTCAGTGAGTAGGGCGCCAGCCCCATATACCACAGGTGGCAGGTTCAAACCCGGCCCCGGCCAAACGACAACAAAAAAATAGCTGGGCGTTGTGGCAGGGGCCTGTAGGTGCCTGTAGTCCCAGCTATTCAGGAGGCTGAGGCAAGAGAATCGCCTAAGCCCAGGAGTTGGAGGTTGCTGTGAGCTGTGTGACACTGCCATGGCACTCTACCGAGGGCAATAAAAACTCTGTCTCTAAAAAAAAAAAAAAATTAAATAAGGCCCATGAGGCAAAGAGAAAATAAAATCAAGCCAGTAGTACAGCTGGTAAAGTAAAAGTGTGCAGAAGTAACCAAAGCAGGGAAGTGGGGCCTGTTACAGAGTTCTCAGCTCCGCAGCCGTCCTCTGCTCAGAAGGGCCCGGCTTTCCTGACCGTGGAAGATTCACCAGTGATTAGAGCCTGCGTGCGTGGCACGTGAATATCAGATTGGCAGATAATCCTTCCTCTGGGGCCCAGTTTTAGCAGGATATCATACAGGTTTAATCTATTGTCTGTGAGCTATTTATTGAATTAGTGTTTGGTGCAAATATAATTACCTCAATGAAGAATAAAGTAAACCATGATTTAAAATAAGTTTTCCATACAACCATGGCTTGGAAAGACGAACAGCCACTGCTGTCCAGAGTGGCAGGTGCCTCGATTCCTGCCCCGCTCCTCTTCCTACTCTGCAGATGTCTCCTCCTCAAGGTCCCCAGAAAGCTCTGCAGACCATCTGGGCGTGTTTGTAGAAGCCATTGGTGTGTTAGATGAAATCTGTGCATAATGATGCCAAGAGCTTGCGATTTAATTTGTGGCTGGTGTTGAGTGGGTGACACTGTTCCCTTTAATTCTGCAGCCTCCACCTTCCCCAGGCTAGCCAAGCTGAGGGTCCCATGTTTAAAGAAGTGCCTCTTAGCTGGGCACAATAGCTCACACCCAGAATCCTAGCTGAAACAGGAGGATCCCTTAAGCTCGGGAGTTCAAGACCAACCTGAGCAAGAGCAAAACCCCACCTCTACTAAAAATAGAAAAACTAGTTGGGTGTTGTGGTGAGCACCTATAGTCCCAGCTACTTGGGAGGCTGAGGCAGGAGGATCGCTCGAGCCAAGAGTTTGAGGTTGCTGTGAGCTAAGCTCTAGCCTGAGTGAGAGAATGAGACTCTGTCTCAAAAAAAAGAAAAAAGATACCTCTTTAAAGACTCATTCACAACTGATCAAAGAGACAGAGGGTAAGATATGTTTTGTGTGCTCTGAAAAAGAAATACATTCAACAGCGTCAATATAATTTGCTTCTCTAGCTAAAAAGGTAGCAGTGAGAGCTTGCTTTCTAGGAAGGGTTAATATCTTTTCTAAAAAGGATTTCTGACAGATGGATATTTTCAGTTTGCTATTTTATTTGTAAACAAAGTCAGAAATCTGAGTAGGAACAGCCATCACTAGCCTCTAGTGTGGTCAGCGCCAGCTGCTCAAGCAGCCCCCCCAGTGCGCTGCGGCGGCATCACCTCGCCTGACCTCGATGCTTCCCTTGTCCTGCTCATCTCCTGTTCCAGCAGAAAACAAAGGTGGCATAATCAGAGATGGTGGGAGTGAGTGGCAAGTGGAGAGAATAAAGGAAAGACTGGATGAAGACAGCTTCTGCTTCTTCAGCCCAGACCCTGTGCCTGGCCGGCCCTTTGCCATGGAAGCCAAGTTCCCCAACTGTGCCCAGAATGTGGGAGCTGGAGGTGCCAAACAGAATGGGTCATCAGGGTTTGCAAGATTGATATCTTGACCCAGCTCACAATGGAAAATCACACCTTTAGACCCTCCAGAGCACGTTGTCCACATCCTGAGGTTGCCCAGCCGCCCTACTCAGCACCTCCAGCCCAATAACAACCCTGGTGCTGCAGGAGTGACTCACGGCCACAGAGCCAGCAGGTGCTCCAGCCCCGAAGGTCTCGGGAACGGGGAGAAAAGCAGGCCCTCGCTGTAATAAAAGGTCCTCGAGTGCTGCCTTCTTTGCCTCCTTTTCCTGGCACTGTATAGTATCTTAGTCTGTGGTCTGAGTGGAAAAGGACAGTGTATTTTCTGGATTTAAAGTTCCCAAAGGACACTGTCCTCCCCGCTCCGAGACAGTGGTTATGAGGGTGGCTTTGGAGTCAGGCTGATTCTGCCCCCGGGTGGTGTGATGCTGCCTCGCCTGTGCAGCCTCAGCCTCTTTGTCTGCCAGTGGGACATGTCATTGCCACCTGGGCTGCCAAGAGGCTCCGCCTGGTACATGAGTGAGTATTTAATCGCTCTTAAAGTGCCATGGAGCAGCTCCAGGAAACCTTTTTCCCTTTGGAAAGTCTCTCTTCTGAAAGACTTTCACCCCACCCCCAGACCCCCCACCCCCGAGGCTCAGTAGGGATGGGAAGGTCCTAGGGCTTCTGGAGAAGCCTGAGGCTCTCAGGCAGACCTGCCCCACCTCTGAGAGGGTCCTCGAGTCCAAGACTCACTGCAGCTTCTCAGCAGTCTGTATTCCAGATGCCTCGTATACAAAACTGGTTCCCCAAACCTATCTCACCCCAATCTCCAGCCCATGACAGCCTGCCAAAGGGACAGCCTCCTGCCGATTGTGATCCCCAGACCAAAGGTGGCAGTCACCAGTTGGAACACCTGCTTCACTACCTCCTCAGATAACTGCACAGGACTCAGAGCAGGAACTTGGGTCTCTTTAAATATGAATAGG